TTGAACTTTTTTATTACAGACTTTGCAAGCAAGGTAGTACCATTTAGGCAATGTCTCTACGGAGATAATTTTTGCGATCGTAACACATGTACGCACCTGAATATAAGAAAATGTATAATCATTAAATACATAATTTTTTCTATAGCATGTAATTTTAAAAATACCTCTAGTGCATAAAGAATGTCGCCTATTGTCATCTTTTCATTGAGTACGAATAACTCTTCATATAGTGTAACTTTTGGCTATTCATTTTTGGGTTCAGTATTAATCTGGACAAAATCGACGACGTCTGATGGCAACCTTTGAAAAATCAAAACGCATTAATAAGGACATGTATGTATACCTATAACACGTGTAACAATCATACGTAATTAATTTATACGAAAGTACTAACATTTTAGTAAACTTCTCCACTTCTGGAATATTTGGATTGAACAAAACATCCGTTGAACCGAAAGAGTTGGATATGCTGTAAACCCCTGAATTTTGAAAAGCATATAATACATAACCGTATTAAAACCTGAAAGCAATATATTATACAATGAACAGTTACCTATCAACTCCTTAATGCATGCAAACCTAATAACGCAAACGACGACAGATTCATCGTGTTCTTTTATTGAACCTTCAAAATTCCTAGCAACATCACCCCAAAGCGTGCAATTTAACTTTGTACCCCTGTTTAATAAATGGATAGTAAGTTTTTGTTGTGATATATTATAATATATTAAAAGTTAAACTATTAAACAAACAAAAACCGTATGTTAGATCTTGCAATTCGAAACTTAATTTCACATTGTCCTTCCCTTTAGTTTTGATGTTCTCAAGAGAGTCGACGTTAACAATCTGGCCAATTACATCTACATAAACAACAAAACATTAATACGATTTGGAAAATAATTTACTTAAAAACAATACATTACTAATCTTACAACTCACCGATCAATAAATGTTTGTCTGTTTTTCCGGCCAAGATATCGGAAAATTCACGAAAATAATTTTCAGAAATTTGAGCTGGGAAATCATCAAATGGCTTGACTGTAGTAGTTCTGTAAAACAACATCTTAAAACCTAAAGACTTGTTCTGTAATCACCATCATAATCAACTAAACCGAATGTGTCTATTATTTTCGCATCACCAACAGCAAACTGGTGCTGGAATTTTTTTACCAAAGACTCCTCAATAGATGCATCGATCCTTGTTCCCTTTGATACAAAAGAAAAAATTATTCAAAAAGTTCCATACATATACAATATATCTTATATTTTATCACATACGTATGATGTAACTTATTCAAATATTAGAATTAAAATAGATGTGAAACTAACGTACCCCTGTATCAATTAGAACCATCTCTAGAGTCTTGAACGATTTCCAAATCCGCATAACACGCACTTTGATCTTGTATTGATCATTAGCAGGATTGATTTCGCTAGCAAGAACAAAAGGAGAAATTATTTTTTTTTAGAGGCCATGATAGAAAAGTAATTGTAAACTTTAGGAACATGTGTATGCGTATTTATAGTTAAATAATCGTATATACGATAATATTCAATCAGTTATGATAATAATGAATTATTTGCTTAGATTTAATTATGAGTAAATTCTAGGACATGATAAGTACGTAAAGATTCTAAATTCATTATATTGGAATTAGAAATTTAACATTTATCTTTAATTCAAATTTAAATATTATATCCTTCTAATATTATAAATGTTAATCTTCATTTTTTATAAGCGAATAATTCCTCTTTTTTTATTTTTTTTGGTCTGTTTTGAGCCATCTTAAAAAGAGGTAAATTTGATGTTTACCTTAATTAAACATGCTAAAATATGTAACAAATATATTTTTTCTTAATAATGTCTTTTCTTGGAATTTTAACAATACGGGAAACAAATGGGTAAATTTGTTTTGAAATATGATAAGGGATCATGATTACAAAGATTTAAGGACGATTTCATAATATAATATCTTTTGACTAATAATAAAAATATTAGAGACTTTAATTTCGCACAGCTTAATAACAACGACGTTATTTTAGTTAACCATACGCTGAATATTATTTTACCAAGCTATTTAATTAAATTAAATATATATAATCTCAAGAAAAACTTAGAAAACATTAATAATTCAGCCTCCATGAAGGATATCAAAAAGAAAAAAAAAACGTAAAAGTCTCAAAGAAACTCCTCAAACTTAAAATTCTCCATCTTCCATATCAGCAAAGGCATCTCTCATCTGTGTTACATGCGGACATAATGGATTTATCATTACACTCGTACAATTATGCAGCGTCGAAACTCTCCACGTTTCTACATTAGTTATTTAGTTACGTACACAGCTTAGATCCCAATGTTGTTATACAATATGTTAAAGGTATCATAAGTAAAGATTTAGAGGTAGAAACAACCTTGGTTAATCTCGAGTCTAGCAAACCTCATTACACATATAATGATATTGTCAACCGAATGTCTCCAAGCATTAAAGAAATCGTTCGCGTATGATCTCGGTAAACGACATGGTAATCGATCACCCCTGGATTAATATTTTAGAAAATTAGAATTGGTAGAATAAAAAATCGATTATTAATATGTATAAGATAATTCATTAACATACTCAAGATCTTCTAACTCGAAGAATATCTCATTCCAGTCGTTGTCAGGAGGCCCATGTTGGTTTCGATTCCCTACAGCCATTGCTCGTCCAATGATATCTACATATATACATAAGCGACTTATAATTTAGAATTAGACTGTGAATAAGAAAGTACATGAATACAAATTAAAACGTACCAACACAGTAAATAGGATCAAGATATCCACTCTTGATATCACTAAATGATACGAATGAAAAGAAATAATCCGAAGTCAACGAAGCAAGTTTCCTAAACCATGTCGTCGATTTCCAATGTATCATAAAACGATGATCGGTTGGTCTAAAATTACCGATAACCCTGCTCATCGAAAATCCTGAAACTAATATCCAGTTCCCCTCATGAAGTCTTTGTGAATAAACGTCTTGAAATTCTCGACCCATCACGGCATGAATTTTTTGGCCCTAGGATACAAACAAATAAATTTATATGAGATTGTTATACATTAGAACCCTGAGTAAAAAATTAAAGATGCGTAAAATTAAAGATTTCAATACTCTAATTCGTGAAAATACCTTTCCATCTACTAAAATCAGATCGAGTGAGTTGTAAGGAGGAGTAGTACACGTAAATTTTCTCAGAATCTTGACTCTTATTTTCCATTCGTGTATGAATGGATTCAAAGTAGCCAAATCATAAAAAGAATCTTTTTCCCTATTTTTTTCTTGATAGCATTAGAAAGTAGGTTAGCCATCTTAATATTTTGAAGTCTCCAATGCAAATTCTTAAATTGAATATCTCGATATAAATAGATTTCGGCATGGTAAAATATATGTATATTTTACATTTATTTACGTGCCAAATATTCTCATATATTATAATTTTGTTATTAATTTTGGTTTTAGAGTGATAACAATTATCACATAAATTTTATTGAAAATACTTATTATTTACTGGAGGAGATAAACAACACAAATCTTACATAATCATGAGACGAAAAATACTGAACGAAATTAAACTATAGAAAATAGATCATTAATGCTCATCTGAGCTGACATCTTGAGGATTAAACTCTGGTTCTTCACCCCTGTGTACAATTAAATTAAAAAATAATTAGAAACATAGCAATAACTTATTACATGTTTTAAAATAAGTTACGAAAAAGCACCGCAAAACGTTAAACTTACAGCAGTGTCTCCATGTTCATCTCCATGAACTCGTGATTAAGGAAAATTCTTGAACAGCCATATTAAGAAAAGAGAGATGGAATACCTATGTAAATTATAGAACAATGAGTAGCTAAGTTTTGGTATTGATACACAATTATACACACAACATGTGAATTAAAACTATAGAAAAAGTTGTAATAATGTAAAAATATCAGTACTAACCTTCGTACACAGAGATCCTCCAAAAACGCAAAACACACATAATAGGACTTTCGGCATCATCATCATACTCATAAACAACTTGCTCCCAGTTGTTTTCAAATTCTATGGCGGATTTTCCCACCGCAACACAGGTTATTTCTTTTTTACTGATCATGAAGATTAAAATGTATGTTAATATAAGAGAACTTCTTAGTAAATCCAAACATATAGGCAACTCAAAATATGCTTACGTTTCATCTGTAAGGGTGAAGGTCACTACGCTTTCGGTATTAGAGTAGCCATTCTGTTTATCTATAAATGTTACTTCACGAAGCTGTGATACATTAGAGACAATACCGCTAGCATCTGTTTCCAATTTAAAAGAAAAAATTTAAGAAAATTTTAATTTGAAATATTCCAAACATGTCAATATATTGAATATAGAGAGTATAAGTATACATACCATAACAATATCTTCTATCGTCCACTTCGGAATTCTTACGTTGAGTGCATGTAATAAAGTTGAAGTAAGACTTCCGAGACTTCTCTTCCACTTCTCGCATTGTTGTTTGATAGATTGTCCTTATTGTCAAGTGATGGCGAGAATTTTTAACTTGTAGATTATTCTCCATAACTTGAAAGTTGGAAAGTAGATACCACTTTCCCTCAACAATCAGATTATGGAACGGTGATGCATATCGAATATATGGAATTGTTGCATCAATCCGACAACCCTGTGTTAAAAAACGATATAACATTTGACGTTAGACAATGATTATACTTAGTCTAATAAAGATACATGCAAAATATATATAAGTTATTCACCTGTTGATCTACTAATATCATACTCTTCCTCTTCCCTTCAGAATCATTCTTCGGCTTCCAGACAGCCAAAAACTTAACAAAAACACTCCAGTTAGTCGAATTCGTGGAGATATCAGCGAACGAATGTTGTCCTGCCATTTTCTTGAGAGAATTATATTTTTTTACTTTCGATTGTGAATGATATTTGTTTAGTTCAATCGTCTTCCTCGATGGTGATTATATATGAGGAAAATAGTAGTGTTATGAGCTGTTTTATTTCAACCTTTCCTTTAACTTTTAAATAAATGAACGGTCGACAAAATTAGAACATTATTGAATAACTCTAAAATCTCAGTCTATACTGACATTGGTTCGAATGACCTATGCATGTACCCTTAACATGTGAACTCGCCTCACTTGTCATTCATATAAATAAATCTCATGTTTGCAAAAGTAGGAAAAGTTAAAGGTAAGGCTTCGGAATCATATATAGATTTAATGCGATATGTAAATACGTCAGATAAAAGCTAACGTTGGCAATTCACGGGACAAATAAGAGGTCTTTATAATTATCGATATCAATTTTCAAAACTCCTAGGTCATTCCTCAATTTACTATGTTGCATGTGAACTTGTAAATCTCTTTCCAATACAATAAAACAACAATATACACTCTTTTATCTATTGTTCATCGTGAATGTCTTACATTGTCAATGTTAGGAATGTAAGTAATCGGAAAACATTAACATTAATACGGGACTCTCCGAAATTTGGTCGAGGACCCTAAATTTTATTCGTCCGAGTAAGTCGAACGGCAAACAGGTTATCGATAAGTCTCGACCGGTCGAGACATTTCTTCGACTACCGACATTTATTACTATTCTATGATAGTTTTAAATAAAATCCACCAGAAAATATTCCCATTAGTAGGTGACTTTTCGAAACTTTGTCGAGGATGGATGGTCTGGCTACGGGCTGATCAATAAGCTTCGCCAGTCGAAACATCTCTTCGACCATCGGCATTTAGAACTATTCTATAATGGTTTTGAAGAGAATCCATCGTAAAATACTCACATCAGTACGGGACTTTACGAAACTTTGTCGAGGACCCTTATTTTTCATCGTCCGGATGGGTGGTCCAACTATCGGCTTATCAATAACCGTCGGCCGGCCGAGATATTTTTTCGACTAATCTCATTCAGAACTTTTCTATGATGGTTTTAAGGACAATCCATCGGAAAACATTCGCATCAATACGGGACTTCCCGAAAGTTTATCGAGGACCCAACATTATTTTTTTTTCCGGACTATAACATCGACCGATTCGGGAAATATCCAATTCTATATTCGATTCGTTTTATTGATGTGGGACTCAGATTAATATGTATGCTTACCATAATGCAAAAGCTGTGTATTTTGAAATCTCTAAAGTCACCCACTCGAATTACTATGCTGCATGTGATTCTCTAAGACCCTATCCTTACAAACAATAATAGTCTGAACTGCCAGATTTATTGTTTGCCGTGAAACACTTACATTGTCAGGTAGGAACTATATCAATGAGTTTGAAAGATTGACCAATTTATATTTAATACATCGAATATAAAACGTAAAGCATGATATGTAAAAGACGTATAATATAGTATAATAAGGAGAAGTCATGAAGTTTTAACATTAAAACCAATCTGAATCATGAAAAATAAAAAATAAGTATGGCTATTCTCTCGTTCATAGACGTTGTCTACTTATGCGGGTAGACCTCCTTGGATTCCTAAGAAAATAAGATATGAAACAAAACTATATCAGTCACATAACAAAGATTACTACTATTTTTGTAGATGTAAATAAACTTACATTGCTACGAAGTTGTCCACCTCGGGAATCTTTGGATTGAGTCTTACTTGGGTACAAACGGTGTTAGACACAGTTCTTTTTCCTATAATAAGAATAAAAATTTTAAAAATATTTAATAACAAATATACTAAAGCTATCATAGATAAAAAAACGTTAAGTAAAGAATAATCTCACGAACATGTACCTTGGAAAACGTCTATCACTCCCCATCGAATCACACAAATCAGACTTTGGTGCTGTAAAGAGTTGTATGCCTTGAAGAAGTTAACGGCCGATGATCCAGTCAACTCACATCGTAAAATGACTCCACTATATTAGCAAAATCAAAAATTAACATTAGGTATATATAACCATAACAAATATACTTATAATGAAAATGAACGATATTAGACGCTTGAATAGTTAGAATCAAATACCTAGTGTTTCAAAGATCAAAACAAATATTATTATGTATAGAATACTCCTTTTTATCATCGACCTCTTCGTCCACAGTTTGATTACAAACATCCTCTTCTTTTTGGTCGTCATCTTCATTAGATTCACTTGCATCATATTCCTCCTCTCCATCTGTTCCTTCTTGTGTATCATTATAACCAGTATCATCTTCCTCGATATCACCATCATCATAGCCATCAGTTTCAGTTTCCGATTCATCGCTTTCATGTTCTTCTTCTTCACTATTATCAACATCGCCGTATCCATCACTCATATATCCATCCTTTTCAGTATCCATTATATCATAAAAACCTTCATCTTCTTCATCCTCTTCGTCTTCCTCTTGCTCATAGTCTTCATCCATTGCATCTCCTTCGTCGTCAATATCATCACTGCACGAACTATCGTCGTCAGAATCTTCGACCTCAGAATCATAAAGACGACGGACGTTGGAAGTGTATCCCTTGTTAGGCAGTCCATCTCGGCAAATAAACTTAAAGAGATGACGAACATAGACGGAACTTGATTTAGACACAACTTGAACGCGATCCTTCTGCTCATCGTCGCCGTCTACATGATCCCAATTATCGAACTTTCCCACGTGTATAACCTCTCCAATGACATCTATAATAAATGAAAATAATCAGTACGAATAAAAATGCTAATGAAAACTAATTTAGGAAATAGAAAGAAATTATATTTATAGTAAACCCTAAACACAATGTTTAAGTAACTTACCAACCAAGTAATCATCACAATAAGAACCATCCAATATATGTTTATACTCTCCACCTCCAACAATCATGGCCTTCTTAATCATGGTTTGACACAAAATAATAACTTTGTATCGATGAGTAGTAGTTTTGCAAGACCCATATTGATCCACAACCTTGAAATTCTCGATTTCAAGCCAATCACCAACAGCAAACTTGAAAATATATCTATCATAAAGAATACCACGGAAGGAAAAATGAACCTTTTCACCCTACAAAAGTGAATATACTGGTTAAGAAAGATTATAGTATATAATCATAAGATTTAAGAGTTTTTAGTTTTAGTTAAAATAATTTTTTTAAAACGCACGTTATTTAAGAAAATATCAAACCTGAATATCGACGATCACCATCTCTAAACTTGGTCCAAGTTTTAAACAATTCTCCTCCCATAAGCATAACACTTTCACCTGAATTTTCCAGACATATTTCGAAGGATTCAAACGTGACACACCATCAACAGAATGGTTCTTCACCATAATGAAACATGTATAACCATAGAAACATATTAGTATAGCTACTGAAACTATGATCAGAAACTGTTTTTATTAAAAAGTTGAGTAATGAAATAAAACCTAACCGTAGTAAATCGTCCGAGATTTGAAAGTTTAGACAATGAATGGCCAAATATATATACAGACATACTCGTTTATAAACAATGTCCTTTATTAATATGGACATTTATCTTTAGCTTATATAAATCTTTTATTTTTTATAATCTGTCTTCCTATATTTATCATTATCAATATGTAAAATTTATATTTATCTTGGTTTAAATTCTTTAGAAACGATGAAGATAAGTTCAAACTGAGTATGAATATAGAAAAAAATCTATAGTATATATAATACGTATTATTATGAAATTTCCTATATGGAACCACTAATTATTAACATGTTTATCGTTTTAAATTGTTATATCTACATATAAATTTCTGATATATATCGGATATACAGTTTGAATATATTTTCAAACTTGGATATATAGAATTAATATATAAATATTTTATTATTTCAGAGGATAAACTTACGTAGGCTAATCAATATATCTATCTTTATCCTTCTCATATTTAGTAAACTAACCCTTAATTATTATATTCGATCGTTAAATTTTAATAGTTTTGAACGAATGTTTAATAATTAAGGTACGAACTAATTATATATCTAGAAGATATATTCAAGATTAGTAAAATAATTTGTTCAACGTTATTAGACAACGGTTTTATATAAATCATTAAGTAATATCGTCTTTTAATAAAAATTTAATAATAATATGTATGTATCGTCTTTTTTTATTCTGCTTTATTTTGTTCTATGTACTAATTATAAAACCCCAAAAATCTTTCTTATTAAATTAAACTTAATTAGTTGTAATATAGCGGATTTAGTTGTAATATAGCGGTATTATAATATAAAATATAGTCAATTTTAATTTTACATTATGCTAAAGAAATTAATCGACGCAAATTTCTTTAGCGAGTAATATTAAATATTTGAATATAGGGTTAGCTGATGATCTCTATGTTTCAGAGTTAATCCATTAATGATTATAAAAAACGCATTGTATTAAACTAAAAATTTTAGACGCTAATGGGTAAAATACAACTAAACATTATTTTTTCGAAAAATTAAAGATGCATCATAAAGCATTAAAATACAATTATAATGATCATCAAAGCTGTATGAATTATAGTTGTTTTTCTCCTTTTTTTGGGATCTTTGCTTCCACTGATTATGTTGAGTACACCAAACAAACTCTCTTGAAAATTCTTCATATTTGTACTTCCTTGGATCACCATCCATCGAATTGCTTTCCATCCAACTTTGTAATTTAGATCTTGAATTTGTAGATAGCAATGTAACATCTTCTCTGACATCGTCTACAACAAAACAACCAATATAACAACTAAATATAAAATTTTAATGAATAATTAATCTAAAATTTAAACAAAAATTAAAATTTCTAAACCATAAGGTGATGTAGCCATAGACAAAGGTGCGGTATTCTTTGACATTACCTTCCAAACAACCCCTACACGAACAGGAAAACGGAAATTAGAGGATGATGAATAAAAGGAAGAACAAAGTTCAGTATACCATC